AACAAAGCAGACTTCCCATTTTAAGCAGTATTTGAGCTGTTTGAACACAAAAACAAAACAACAAAAAACCCTCCCTCATTTTCTGATTAACTTTTCTCATGTATACTGCTGAGAATAAGATTTTTAAAGTTGGACAATTTAGTTAGGCAGGACTTTGTAAAATACGAGAACATGAAGAATGGTATTTATTTTCTGAAGTTGTTCTTTTTTAACCTAGCCTTAATTTCAAAAAATCGTATGGAAAGATAATTTGTTTTTAAAACGCGCTCTTCTGTAATGAGAGCTAGAGTATAGAGACTTAACTTTACGAAGCTTAACAAACATTTGGGTCGTTGAGGTCATCTCTCTATTACAATTTCATTTAATAAAAAAAGCTTCAGGAATGGTATGACTTGTTCACATTCCAATAAGATTTAAAAAAAGGCACCTTAGATTAAGGTCCTCATTATAAACAGCCTTCAGACTGCAAAATTGTCATTATGGTCTGACTGTATTTTTAAGAGAGCCTTCACTGAGAGTTCACTAAAGCTCCAGGATTGCAATCCTGGAGAGATTCAAGTCCTAGTGCATTTTCACCACCGTCTTCCCCGCTCCGTAAAGCCGCACGGTTGACCAGAGAAGCCACAGCCCTCCTTCCAGCTGCAACCTCTTCAACAAGCACGTTCTTGAAGTCCAAGCCCTCAAAAAGCAGGTATTTTTTATAGGCACGGGTACACAGAAGTGGATATATCTTGCCCTAAGATGGCCAGTTGATGAAAGAAATGAAATGCCCCCATCCACTCCATTCATACCCTTGGCCCCCGTTTGACAGACCCTACTTCGTACTGTGGCACCTCTAAGGTAGCGTCATTACCAGATTTTCCCAACCAATCCCATTCATCTCAAAGCCATTAACTCTCCTGACACTTGTGCCTGCAAGCACCCCGCGGGCAGTGAGAACAAGAGGTCTCTGCTGAACAGAATAAATGCACCTCACTGTCCGGAGCCAGGGAACAACTCATCACCTGCAAGCGTGAGCAGAGATGTGACACGAACCCTCACTCAGCCAGAGAAATAAGCCACAGTGGTGCTTATTCGAGCCCACACGGCGACTCCACAGAGTCATATGCTCTTCCCAAACAGGCACGCACACACAGAAGTAACAGCTAGTGCAGAATTTATGAATTTTTGAGTATGCAAGAATATTCTTCCCTCTGCACAGTATGCAGCTAAAGTACTTTGGAAATCATATGCCATAAAGAGGTTATTTATTGTCAAAATGCGAATCTTCAGAACATCCGTCTATGGGGCCTCTCCATAAATTCACATAATACTATCACGGCTCAGGCTTACAGCACAGCATAACCATGTTGAAACAGCATTTCAGCCACTCTCCAGATTCTCCGGTATTCTGGATACTGTCCAAATAGTAATTAACAGAGTCAACACATTCCCAGTATTTGGTGTTGATTCTGAACCGCACAAAATAGTCTCCTCTGAGAGTACTGAAATGCAGAACACATGAAATCACATCCGACGCTTTCAGATGTGGAACTTACACAATATTTGCTGCGGATAATAAAATCTCATCAGCCCTTATTCAAGCTGGATAATAACAATCTATTTTCTGTCAGAGCCAGGGAGGTTTTAAAAAAACATGCCATCTCCTCCAGTTATGAAAAGACAGAGCTACCTCTACAAAGCTTTATTTTACAGCAGTATCAAAATAATGTAAATAACACACTGGAAGCACCACGATGCAATATGAGCTTCATATAATCCAGTTACCTACTATCAAATCACTGCAGAAGGGAAAAAATCTGCAGTTTGTGTGGTGCTTGCAAAACAGCTGCACTCGCAGTCAACAGAGAGGCAAAGCCCTGTGTTTATTTATGGAAGATCAACACAGGAATGGTGTCAGAACCAATTTGTCTGGCTCTGTGCCTCACCTCCAGCTTGCAAGACCACAGCTGAAAGGGTTGTTCGATCTGTTAGACCCCTGCAATGTTCTGCCCGCTGAGCTTGCCCACAAGGATGCCAGTTCATGCCTGGCTGAACAGCCTCGCTTTGCTCAGTCCCACCACGCAAGAAGCCACAGCTTCACCACAGCACTCAGATAAAGCTTTGACCGGTGAAGACGACTTCGACATCCTCTCCAGAAGTGCTGCACAAGCATTTCCAACAGCACTTCCAGTGCTACCCATCTCTGTGATGCACAGCCACACAACTGAGCAAGGTGTTACCAGATACCTGATATGACATTCTCACACCATCAAGTCAACCAGGAGAAGGCAATGCCGTGAGGAAAGATCTGTAGCAGTTGATGCACTACAAAGGTGACACAGATGTGAAGGAAAAAGGGAGAACTAAAGAGAGAGGAGTGCCTAAACAGCATTCAAATATGACTGACTGTGTTTTGTTTAAAGAAGAGACTAGTTTTTTGTTGTTGTTTACAGCTCAAAAAGAACACCAGTTTGCTGCATACCCAACTTTTTCTTCTTCATACCCAAACATAGCCCTTTCGCAGGGGCAGGTATTACCAGAGCCTGAGGCTAAGCCTTAAGAGTCTGAGTGTTAGTTTTATCAAGCTACTGTAATTCTCTTGACTTCTGAAAATCAGACTGTTAGTGCACGCTTTATTCAAACCTTTAAAAACATTAATGTCTAAGCGTTGTTTTACAGATGCCCAAGTATCTCAGGGATAGCCCATGAAAAGGATCTCAAAATAAATTGCCCATGATCTTAAATTTACTTTGCACACGGAAGATTTTTAGGGCTTGGTGAAATAACAAATACGAATGCGTTTGGCTCAGGTTTTGATCTGGCAAAATTAGGTAGTCCCTCTAGCCTTTTACAGGAGAAGCTAATAACATTAAAAAAAATACTCTGCAACTGCATCTAAGTAAATCTCTTAACTACTGGATATGTAAGCGAAATAAATGCTTTTATTTCTCCTACTAATTGAATACAGGAAGTACACAATTTTCAAATGGGGCTTTCTTGTTCCAGTACCAGATACCAAAACTTCATTACCCAGTTGTAATTACTTCCTCTTCATTAGGTAGTTCATAGGTAAAGAAGGCGGCAGCAGCTATGGTTCCATGACTGTTAATACACACGTGGCACTCGGCAGCCCAAGTGATGCTGATTAGGCAAGGACACATGACTGCATCTTTGCTGAATTAGCCAAGGAACTTCAGATCGAGCTTTTGGTAGCTTTATACAGGTTCATGGAGGAGAGTATAAAGCATGCCAGCACAAGTTTAACCTACCAGGAATTTTGCAATGCATTCGAACCATCAGAAGGAATTTATATCCCAGAAAAACTCTGTGGTCAAACGATGCGTTTTGAAGAGAAAATAAAGTGGAACCAGGAGGAGACAAGAGGAGGAAAAGGGAATGAATGGTGGCAGGTGGTGGAGGGGAACCAAATCCTAAATAATCAGGTTGGGCAGAAAATTACTCTTGAAGCAGGGAGAGCCAAAACAAGGGAAGAGGCAATCCTCCAGATATGCCTGGGTTACTTAGGAACATAGCCGTATGGTATCAGGTGACATCTAAAGCAACAAGCTCATTTCTGTAGCAAAGTGATGGCACTAAGGAGTCAGGGAAAGTAACATTCCGAGATCTGGTGTTAAGTTTCTTGCAAGAAACACATTGGGTTGATTTCTCCTTATGCATCTTCACATCCTTAAATAACCTCACAATGCAGCCCTGTCCTCTCCTCCCACCCTAGAAAGCAATAAACAGCACTCACTTTTGCTACAAAAATAAATTCAAAAAAAAAAAACAAACCAAAAAAATCCCCCAAAACCCCCACACCACGCAGTCATGGTACAAACCAGCTCTTGTGAAAGGGAACAAGGAAAAACACAACAGTGTTGCTACTTACATTCTTGTATTGCTGGTCTTGTTGATAATTACAGATTTTCCAGTCTGATCCACATTGTGATCCATTCCAAAGTAAGCCGCCACTCTGTGCACTAACATCCTCTGATACGATGACATCTGAGGGAACTTTTTATAGTGATTGCTGGGAAAAAAGAAAACAAATCGCATTGATAATTACATTTCCCTCTGAGCTATAATTAAATGAAAATAGCAATACAGTCGATAATTCAGTGGACAGAAATCTAACTGAAAACTTCTCCTTTGTGCATTTACGTACAACTGTTTGCTACAAGAAGGCAGAAAAAAGAAAGGAATTATTTTTAGATATTTGAATAAGCACATTTCCATGCACTACATTGGGACAAACAAAGCTCACGCTTCATGATATCTACCGAGAGTTCTGTATATTGGGAAGAACTCGTCCCCTCACCCCGCACACACACTCATGCTCCCTGCAGAAACAATCCTGCAGATTTGCTGAGATACTGGCAACAGCTTTCTGCCTTTCTCCCAGAGGGCAGATGCAGAGCGATGCTGGAAAGATTTAGTTTGGAAAATACTCCTTTTTTCTCTCCTACTGACAAAATGCTTATTTCCCATCAGCATAATTTCTTCCTCTGCTGCTGTTCTGACTCTCTATTTTTTAAAGCGGCAGAAACATTTTATTATAAAGAGCACGTGGCAGAAAGAGCCCCTCCACCCAAGTCCAGTTTTATTTTCTAACTCATTAGAATAACATAGCACACCGTGAAACCCATGAGGTGGGATACTTCATCATCCTCTGCGCTGAAAGCTTCAATTCTATTTTTGGACCTAAGTGAGCAGAGCCAGTGCAATTAGGATGCAATGAAAAGCAAAAGGTTTTCATGTACATCTACCGTATTTTAAGCGGTACCACCATGCATTGGGAAATAAAAGCCTGATCTTGCAGCACACCAGCAACAGCGCTCAGGAGCACCGCGCTCCATGTGAGTGCATCCCTCGGACAGCTCGCATCGCTACACGTGCACGTGACTCAGTAACCAGGTGTGGAACTTGACTTACTTGTTGTCACTAATAAAATCAATAATTTCCTGTTCCATTTTCAAGAGTATCATTCTGTCCCTGTCAAAAAGAAATGCAAGCGTTTGTAGCATCAACTATCTAATAGACATTTTAGATGAAAAAATTAATACATCAATGTTTGTAAGGCAATTTTGCAAGCAGTGTCAGCCACCTTGATTAAAAATGAAACGTGCTTTGCCCTGGCACATCTGGAGAAGATTGCAGCCTGCTTTGCTGCACCTTCGCTGGCATACGTGACTCTTCCTTGAGCTCAACTATGGTCTGAGAGTGCTTCCAGCCACACCAGGCTGTGATCAACACCTCGCACAGAAAGACTCTGACTGCTATGGATAGCTTTGGTCCTTCTTTCACCCTTTTGTTGAGGGAAAATGAGATTTCCAGCTAACATAGCTCTTTCATGCGAAGAGCTGCTACCCACTGAAATTTTCAACATTTTGTCTGAGACATATCTTCCATGAGGCATTGATCTGCAGGCGAGAAGACTGGGCCCATCTCATCTAGTTAGAGAGCACAATGGAGAACACTGCCTTTGAACTATGGCTCCCAGGAGGCAATGCCGCAGCATTCCTCAGTCAAAATGCTCCGTTTTCAACTATAAAGTCTCAGATGTTCCTTTCCCCCTGTCCCCTCCTGCCAAAACAATTGAAAAATTTCCCCAGCATACTTCCACACATACTTTTTTTTCTAAGCTTGACACAGTCCATCACTCCTTAGTTCTTTTCTCATTTTGTGCAGATAAAACAATTTGAGGACCTTCCATCATCTATATAAGAAGTTCTGCAAGCTGTTAGGTACCCAATTATTCCTAGTTCTCCTATAATTGCAGAATTATGTGGTATCTACTTATCAGATTCAATTGAAATGAACATTGAAAATCACAATGTATAAAAATGTTACAGATCCTTCCTTAGACATTTGAGAGGCAAATTTGATGACGAGATGAGCTTGCTGCTCCAAACGAAAACTACGGGAATTCGGAGAGCAGAATTTGGCACTGTGCACAGGATTTTAATTGTGTACAGCACTGCCAAAAGACAGCTACTTAATGTTCATATACAAGTCTCCAACTGCAATGGTTATAATATATTACTGCTAATATCATGTAGACCTATATACGCGAAGGTAAGGACAAAGACCAGATGTCGCTGAAAGTGAAATTAAGCAATGGGTGACTGGATGGAGGAGTAGAAGTTGGTGACTTTTTATAGCTTTTTGCTCAGTTAGCAGCCTACCTCCTTTACATTTGCCCTCATAACCACCTCCAGAACTAATAAAACACAGTGTATAGTTACAGGAACTCAAAGACTGCCAGCTTTAATTTCAGGAGTGCCAGCTCTAACGCAGAAAATACCTACCTGGGGTTATTCTTTAATGTGTTAATGAGAAACTCATGCAAATCTATGCCTGTTGAGTCTGTATACTCTTGACTGCAATCTGAAAAATAAAAACAAACACCCCCTGCTCATTTATTTCATTTCAACAGTTACGATTAAGCTATGCTATAAATCAAAATCCATTTTCCACAGCAACAATCTGAAAGCATACACTCTCAAAGAAAACACTCATTTGGAGTTCAGCCAGGAAAGATCTATGCTCAGAAGCATTGGATGGAAGTTCATGGTTCCTCTGTGCCATTCTGCTGAGAACATAGCACCAATACTAGACACTGACAGAAACTGCTAGTCATCTGAAAATCACGGGAAACCTTCAATGCCACTCGAGACCCTATCAAGTTCTTCCTTTAAACTACTACATAAAATGTTAAAATAAAAAAAAAAAAAAAAAAAAAAAAGGAGAAAAGTTTTATTCATCAATGTCTCCTTGCATCATTTAATATATGCTGTACACACAGCAAATGAGGCATCGTGCCAGTGGGAATTCTATTTGCATGAACAGGCTGAAATCCAGTGACGGCCGCGAGTGGGCGGGTAATAGCGATGCGTGACAGTAGTCAGAATTAATTTCTCAGCATTGCTATATCGTCTGACTCAAAAGTACACACAGATCCTCGAGCTGGCGTGAACTGTGAGAGCTCCATTGAAGCCAACTGACAATTCACACCAGCTGCGGATCCACACCCAGGTAGGCAACAATTTTTTTTTTGAGAGAGATTGCACAGCAGCTTTATACCACGGATTAATAAAAAGATTTTTTAAAAAGATACCAAGTTTAGATACAAGATCTTTTCTGAAGAAGCCTTAGTAGGTGATAATAGCTGATTGCAACGCAGGGTAAAGGCCATGGATGGATTTCCTTACAGCATGAGAGGAGCAATAGCGAAGAGGGTTACTCTGTACTGCCTACGTCGCACAAGTGACATACGCCAATATATTATCATTAATGGAGGAAAAAATTGTAGTCTTACACTTACCTTATTATATAATCACAGATATACTTGCATATGTATGTGTTTATACCAACGTGGTTAAGTATTCAGAAAAATGATTTTACATTAAAGAAAATTAATAACCTCTAATACGAAACCTCAGTTTGGAAGTTTTTTTTCCACTTTCAAAGCCTGATGTTTGCATGAAAACAAAACCACTCTCATGCATACGCATTTCAGGTTCTGAATTTTCTCAATGCATGAAAACACTTCTACATGTATTTATACACAAATAAAGAAATGCACGTTGACAAAAACATATATTTTTATAACAGTAACAACAGCAGTTTAAATACTTTTAAGTTCACCTTTTGATAACATTCTGATCTTGGTTTTTTCACCGTTTTTATCTTTGTCTTTATTTTTATCCTTCTCTTTTTCTTTCTCGGAGTCATCTTTACTAGATTTATCTTCTTCTTGCAAGCTAGGAAAACTTGAAAGCTGTAGTTGGATTGAGTCCTGTTGGGAAAAAAAAGAAAGATAAACTTAGGGCCAGATTCAGTAAGCTTCTCATGGCTTCCAACCTACAGAGATTTGCATTAAACTATGTGCAGCTAGAAAAGCTGAAGCCAGATACATTTCTTTCCTATTTGAAAAATTATTTTTTTCCAGGAGAATAACGACATCTTAGAGGCCAAATTCTAGTGGTAAATGTATTTCTTCCCTAATATTTGAATAGTATAAATTTTGAGTCTATCTATATTAAAGGCTCTATATTATTCTACACTTTAGTAATTCTCACTTAAGGCTTATTAGAGCAGTGAAAAACATTTTATATGGGCTTTCTTAAGTAATTCTACAATTTAATCAATACTATACATGTTAAATGATGACCAATGGATCGATGTCTGAAAAATATAACTTTTTTTTCCCCCCCCCACTAAAAAATCCTGCAGGTTCATATGAACTGTTTGGCACATGTAAGCGCACTATCAACTAGACTCAGCTTTCAGGCTCTGATAGTAGATGAGTGCCAGCAAATTATAAACTCAGCAGTATACAAGAGGGCTTACGAACTTATCAGGTACTTTATATATTTACAGACATGCCTTTAGCAGAAGGGGTGAAATGTGCGCTGTGATTTTCAAACAAGTTGTGGTAAGTAAACTTCTCGAAGGCACCACGAGTTTTATCCTCAAAAATTCATTATTTCAGAGATGTTGAGCCCCTTTGAAAGCATGCTTCAGCTTTAAAAACTTAATTAAAACTGAGAATTCAAGCTGGTTTGCGTTTTCTGATTTGCTTTAAAGAACTTATTAGTTCCCATTTACAACATTACTTTATATTGGCTTTGTTTTAACAAAATACAAATTATTTTCTTTTGAAGTTACCATGGCACAATTTATGTATTTCAAGAAATACCAATCTGGTTGGACAAAATTGAAGGAAGCATATATTTCTGTGTTCATAATCTTTTGAAGCAAAAAAGGCCAAAATAATACTGTATGCTTAAGTAGTGTAAAAACGCACATTTGAATTAAGCTGCCACAAAACTCCCTGGTAATGCAGTTTTCTTCAATAGAAGAGAGTCCTGCATGCCTGATAATTTTTTGGCATCATGTTAATGAAAACAAAATTCACCAACACTGGAGAAATCAGAGTTTCTTGAATGCTAGAAAATTCCCTTCCTTCACAATTTTTCAAAGAATACTAGCATACCAAAAGATTAATACCAAACTTTAAAGTAAGGGTTTGGATTTTTAAGCAGCCAGACCATTATATTTACTGAAAGCATCTTTTGAATTTATTACAAATTTTAGGTATCTGAATTTTTTTAAAGAATTACAAATCGGCCACCACAACACATGTAAGACAAGATCCTAACAGAACAAGATATCAGCATAAACATGCCACAGTAAGACAGAAGTTGGGTAATTTCTCATCTTAATCATTACTGACTTTTTGTGACGTTTGAAAGTGGCACAAAAGACTCGAGATGAAAAGCACTGTCAAAGAGAAACAAAGCCCCAGAGCCAAAATTTAACCTGAACTACCATCCTTAATCCCTACTTCTGCCAGTTTTGGCTGACAGGATTCGCCAAAAACTGAGCGTGGAGAGGGAACGAGTGGGAACTCCTGATCCTTTGAGGTAAGGGTACATGGAAAAATGTTTGCTAACCTGCTCAGTTGCGTTCAGAGGACCAATGCTACACCTGCTTTCTTTCACTTCAAATGGCAGTTCCATTTCTCATTCAAAGAGCAAACTTTGGATCAAACACTGCCAAAAGACCCCGAAGGATAACTCTGATTCCCCGCACTGCCCGGAGCAGAGCGACTCTGCCGCTAGCTTTTCGAAACAGGAGAAAAATGTAACTGGCCATGCTGTTCCCAGGATATTAGTCCTAACCTTCACAGTGATTGTTAAAAATGCACTTATGAAAAGAAAAACGACAGACTTTACACGTAAGCACACGTATGAACATACAGGAGATACTTTCTTACATGTAACAACATAATATTTATGTATTTGCACTAGAAGAAACACACAAAGGGGCTGTAGAGTCGTGAAAGCAAGCTACTGTATATTTTCTTAGATTTTTATTGATTTTTCTCAATAATAAAATACAATGTTAATAAATACATTGATACAAGGTAAGTATAGTGAACAACAAAATAAATGTTCAGATTGCAATAATACACTTGTTGGTCAATAGTATAACATTAAAGGCAACATTCCTTTTAAGTAAGGACATAGTGAACCATCAGGTAAGCGTTCAAGATCAAGTAATACAGGTAAACAAGTTTTTTCCCTATACAGGAAAATGAAGGCAACTATTCAAATATAAATACAAACATCAAGTCTGCAGTACAATCCATACTCAGTAGTTCTGGCAATGTACCGTACATTCTCTGGTAATTAATTCCCTGTGCTTTGGAAACCATTAAGATAAAATAAGAATAAAAAAACAAAACAAAAAAAACCAAAAACAAAATGAAACAAAAAAACCCCACAAACCCAAAATGAGCTTTTTCTCCTCTAAAGTGAAAGCAATTCAGCTGGCACAAAACTTGCTGTATCCTTCAGCCAGTCCAAGGAGGAGCCTGCATGGCAAAGCTGAGCCATGTTCATCAGTAAAAGGTCAGTGACAGCAAAAGTGCAATTCCTATCTAATGAATTACACCAAGCCAATTGTATCTTTAGCAAACGGATGCTGGGGTCCAGGGAGGCACTTTATCTCCCATGAACGTTTCGATATGGTCAAAGAAACCTTTACCGCGGCCGGTCAGAGTCAGGTAAGACCAGAGGCTGTGCGTAACAGGAACCCCTCCTTTGCCTGGCGTCGGGGTGCAATCCGGGCAGAGATTTTACCTCAAAACCTGCCAGTCTCTCAGATGTTTAATACAGGTCCTGTGCAGTACATTATAAACTACCATGCAATGCTTAATACAATCTCTTTATATTATTTTCCTTTCCATTCTCCATTAAACAATAGAAAATACAAATGAAAGCAGAACAAAAGCCACACACCTTGAGTAACGCAAGTTAAGCAGGAAGCGTATACCTACAACAGAACAACTGATAGAACAACCTGCCCATCTACTGCATAAGCATCATTGTAGAGCAGTAGAACATGTAGTCGTTCCCCCTGCTAAACAACCTGGTTTTTGGTCTTTCAGAAGAAAAAAAAAATTTTTTTTAAAAAATAGAAAAACCTCTCCATGCTTATGAGCTAAGAGGAGAGCTGGATTTGTTTTGTTTCAAGTCAATAGAGGAAATGGTGAGAAAGTACACTTAAATGTGATTTTTTGTGCTAAGCTCACAAGAATTCACTTGCTCAAGCTCTCTCGATGGCTGATCTCATTTGCACACAAACATCTCATAAATTATAGGCAGTGCTCATGATATTTTGGTTTTGTTTTGGTTTTGTTTTTTTAAGCCTTGCTCTTACCAGGCAAGCAAAGAAGAGTATTTGAAGTTTTACTTTTGCTTTTTGGGGTATTTCTTGAAGTTAGTCTACAAAGACTGCTACCACTATTACTGTCTGAGGTGAGGGGTGCAGGGGACAGAACTCTACCAGGTGCTGGGAATACAACACTACCAGTACAGATAAAGTCAAATACACGCTTTTTGATACCAGAAAATCTACACCAAGAGTTTAGAAAACAAATGCCACTCAGTAGGAGGCACCCTTGGCTCTAACAAAGTATTTTAGAGACCAAAGGATCTGTGAATTTTATGTGAAGGGGGACACTGATATGAACTGGAGTCTCAGAGGAACCAGAAACCAGAGCATATTCATAACTGTATCTGGTGCAGCCTGGAAAGAGATAGCCTTAGAGAAAATAACATTATTAATATTCTTTTTGTTTGGTACTTTTTTTTTTAATTTTAAAATCTGAATTCTTTTGAATTCTTTTCCATTTGCTGAAATTTTCAGGGGGTCTGGAAAAAAAAGCAAACAACACCCTGTGATAAGGTATAAAACTATTTTTTCAAAATAAAGTTCACGCTAAACCAGATAATTTCATTTAAAAAAAAAAAAGTGTTCACTGTCAGATGTAAATTTTCCCCCAAGAAAGACATTGTTAAATACCCAACTAAGTAACATCATCATGCAACTAAACATGAAGCTAACAGCAGTGATTGCAAGCATACCTGATTTTCATGAATATTTTCTGCTCCTGGGCGAGGGGATGACTCTTCACACACAGCAAGACTCCGGACGAGTTTTCCTTTAGCTCCTGACTAAATAAGAGAAAGAGAAAACAAAACAGAGACCACTACTGTTGACCCCAAGGCACATAAGCTGCACACATCAGCTGTCCTTAAGTGTGCCAAATAACTGCTACCCACCCAGCCAGCAAAATTGTATCTGCCTTCCATGAGGATAGAAAAGGACTCTAAGAAACAAGCCATTTGACGCACAGGGGAGGTGGTAGGTTTCTTTTTGCTTTTAATCATTTCTGCTACAGCTCATTCGCTTCCACCAAAAATCGTTAACAGCAAAGAACGGATAATCCAATACTGAAGGTAATTTAACATAGAGTTAAACTCAAAGGTTCCTTCTGTCATTCGGTTTGGGGTTTTTTTGTTTGGTTGTTTTTTTTGGGGGGGAGGTTTCCGCCCCTCTCTTCTTCTAATAGTATTATAGCCAAGGAACACGGACAATAAAATGCGCAAGTTTTATGGATCTGCACTTTGAAAATTAAAAGAAGGCTGGGGGGGATGTTGTTCCTAGAAGCTCCTTTCCCCGCCCCTCCCCCCCTTGGGGACCTAAGTCATCCTCTACTTCTTTATGTCAAGATTAGTCCATTAAAATAAAATTCAAACAAAAACGTTAATTACTAAAGCAAAACAAATGAGCTTTTTGTTTCCCCAGCGGCACACGCAAGCATGCACGCTGTCTAACACAAGCATACGGCGAGCCCAGCAGCATAAAAATACGATGGATAAATAAAGGGGAGCCTGACACATTCTACCCAGAAGACGACTTCTGCCTTTGTGCAACAAGATTATGGGGGGAACCAAACCAAGCCAAAAAAACCACACACAAACAAGAAAAAAACCCACCACCACACAAGTGATGAATGGCCACCATTTTAACTGAAGACAAACATTTCATTGAATTTCTTTATCCTACTATGGCATGCAATTCCAAACAGAGATAGACCCTTACCTTGGATCTCTTTTTCTGCTGGTTCTGATTTGCACCTCGTTTCTGGGTATAGCAAAAAAAAAAAGAGCAGTAGTTATCACTTCAATGGAAAATGTGCATGACGAGTATTACCAATAAATAAAGACACTAAATCACTCCTAATTGATACTTTAATCAGTTGCTGACTGCAAAAACCACCTCCCCAAACCCAGTCTGGAAATCAGGGAAAACCAAGAATCATCTCTGCTCACTGTATTAATTTTAAGAACAGGTATAAACAACAAAACCACACTGTACAGTGTTCTGTATTTTTGCATATAATAAAAATATAAGAAAAGGCATACTTAAGTAAATGCTCCTCCCTCCAAATTCCTCTTAAATAACAGTCTCCCCCTTTATATTTGATTGAGCAAAAAGAATTAAAAAAACCCCATCCAATAAAATCTTTTTATCAAATTATTTTCCTAGGTTTTGCATAACAACTTTTTGTTGGCAGCAACGCCTACAAACCAAACCACACATTAAGTAATTATTCATTAGTGTTACCTGTAAATTCATGAGATCAAGGTAGTTTTCTAAATCCCCAAAGAGGGAAAACAGTCAAATATTTCACCAAGTTTTAACACAGACATCTAGGAATTAACTTCTCAGAAAAATTAGTAACATGGACAGCAGCCTAAAGAGCTTAAAAGGTATAACAAATAACAACATTTATTTTATAGGGAGATAAAAGGACCCAAAATAAAACTAACTAAATAAATAAATACAGTCTCAAAACTATGGGAGAAAAAAATAGGGGAAGCGTAGGCAATAAAAGAATCATAGAAATGGAAAGGCAATGGTAATGCACTGATATTTAACATGCCCATTCACTACTCCCGTCTTACCTGCAGCTCTGTCTTGGCATCGCTCAGCTTCTCCTCCTTCTCCTCTACTTCTGAGCTTTCAGATTTATTAAGGATACAGTTGTCCTGGTTCTCTTCGGAGATGGCAGTCTCCTGCTCTTTTGCAGCTTCCTCTGCTGTCTCCTGGTTCAATTTACCTTGCTCAGACATTCTTCCAGACAGAAATTAAAATAACAAGATTTGGTGACCTGGAAGGTCAAGATATCACAACACAAACACACACACAGAAAAACACTGGGGGTGAATTTTTTTATTTTTTTATTTTTTTATTCCCAAGTAATTCTATTTCCTTTGATAAACAAACCAAAATATGCAGCCCAGGAGTGGAAAGCTATGTATGTCCCAGCTGGAGAGAGGTACTGAATCGACAGTATTGGATAACAGCAGGATTTTATCATGTTAAGCAAGCAGAGCTCTGATCTAAACGGTCTTGGCAGAGAGCAAATTTAAGGTAAGATGCTGTGACTCCCCAGCCCCGTCCCTCCCAGCCCAGCCCCAGGAGCGCAGAGGTGCAGCAGGGATGGTGAGGGACTCTCTGCTACGGAGCTCAGCAGCACCCAGCAGTAAGGACCCATTCAGACTTCCAGGTCTCTGGTGTCTCAGTGCTCCCCTCCTCTAGATTTATTTTTTTTTTTTTAGGTTTTTTTTTTTTTTAATAAAAAAGAATAGCCAAACCAAAAAAACGAACAGAAATCAAAACCAAGCACGATCAACAATGGTTTTCAGCACTCAGCCATGGGTTTTGTATATAGCAGAAACCCATGGTGCCCACTCCCAGTTAAAAAAAAAAAAATTTAAAAAAAATATATTTGAAGAGATAATAATTCAATATAAATATGAAATCTAAATTCGGCAATAAAGCTCTCAGGGTCAACGTTTTCAGGCATCAAACTGACAGCTCCATTATTAAAATCCTAAGCCTCTTCCCAAACCCCATGTCACTCTCCAGCACTATGAAAATCCTACAGGAAGCCCTTGGCAGGTATTTCTAATGAAGATATCTTAACTGAACTGAATTTACACTCAGCTCACAATGGGTTGTTATACAGAAGCTTTAAACGCTTTTCAAAGGTAAAGCCTATTATTATTTTCTCTCCCTCTCTTTCCCCCCCCAGCTCCCTCTTGCAGCCTCCCCCACTGATCAATTGTCAAATGAGACTCATGAATAATTTAGCTTTTCCTTCCCCATCCATTTGGCTTAAGAAGTATCTCCAGGAAAAACAACTGCATTTGAGAAAGGGAGTTATTTCAGAAAGGGTCTTTTGCAATACCTTGCCACTTCTCAAAAATGAAACAGTGGCTATTAAGCAAAACCACACTTTGCCATGTTTCTTTTTGCAGCTTGTGATTAACATTCAACAGATCTCGTATCACTTACCTTCATTTTTTTAAGCTATGTTTTAAGTGAAAAAAATAAGACCTACTGAGTTTTAAAGACTGACGACTTCTAATTTTTGCTTTTGTTTTGACACGGTAAACAAATAAATTAATAAAAGCTTTCCTACATAATCTTCCCATTTGAGAAGGATGGCGGATGAAGCTACACAGTTCATAAATAAACCGACTAGAATATAAAGCTCACAGTAAGCCAATTCAAGGTTTGGACTGTTCTCCTTTCCTCCCACCGCCCTCCCCAGGCAGTCCCAAGGTATTGACTACTCTGTAGTTTCAACTGAAACTTGAAGCGCTTTGCTAAAAATTCAAAACACAATGAATGGCAAGACCTGAAACTGGTCTTGACTTGTTAAGGATTTACATCAAGCAATGCACACACAAGCACAAGTTCTTCGCAGGCGTATTACCACCACCACCACCAGCCCCAGCTCATCTAAATGTTTACACAGTGTTTGCAAAACCAATTACACTCACAGCTTATCAGCTGCACCAAAGAAGCCATTTACCTGAAAAACTGCTATAATTCCCACTGTCTTTCTAGCGTCTTCTGTTGCTCTTGGCTGGTTAAGTCCACACAAATGATCAATGACAACGTGAGTCCCATGTCCCCATTAACAGTTCAGAGTGCCAATCTCCATGCTGGTCCTTCAGAGAGTTTGACGGATCATAGTCAACCTGGAAAAAGACGAAAAGTAAATAATAACAACGGTAACAATCATGGTACAAGTTAAGGATGCAATAGATAGGACCAGATTTCTAACACTAATGACCAGCTTCAAGCAAATCACTTTCTCAGCTTGATCCAGCTCCACCTGTCTCAAAACTGCCTGCTTCTTCTCTAATGAAGGCTGGAGCCGGCTGTTCAAGTCATAACAGCTCCTACGCAAGGAGCTAAAATTAACAATTGCATTATGCACTGAAGATTACTCACTTCAATTTTAACCTTTTTTAGCGAATTCCAGCACTTTTCATTAAAAAAAAGCATATATACATATTTATATATAAGCTCATCTGTTTGCTTCAACAGAAATCAATGAGGGTATGAGGAAAAAGGACTTGCCTGCTTTTTAACTACAGCTTCTGCTCCAATTAAAATTTCAATAGTCAAGCACCCATGCTTTTAGAAGGTGGGTGCTTTTAGAAAGTGACCTCCTTTGCCAGGGTAGCGAATCAAGATGTTCATTTAATAAGCTGAATAAAAGTTGAAATGATCAAGAATGGGAGGAGGAGAAGGAAGAAATCCTACTCCTCGAACAACAGCCACCAGAATAACTTTCTTCAGAGGCACTATGTGAGGAGGCAAAAGGAGATCTCCAGGTTACAGTTCAGAAAATAAACCTGAAGAAAGAGTTGCCTCTGCAGTGCAATTTATGCTGTTCATCAGGACCGTGTCTGCCAGCTGAAGAGCTGATCTGACAGAAAAGTAGCATTTTGGGATGAGTCGGACTGATTTACAAGCCATGGCCGTGTGCCGAACTGTCTTGATACGACAGGCACCTCTTCTCGAGGCTTGCACATGAAATCATGGTTGAAGCAATTAGTGCAGATACACAAAACAGCAAATAGGAGGAAACGTATCATTCTACTTGAGGGGAAAAAAAAAAAAAAAGCTGAAAATCATCTCGCTCTGATATTAGACTCCTTGTTTCCGAGGCACATTTTAAATGGTGCATGGTTGCAACTGCTGTACAGTATGTGGCAGCGCACTGGAACTCACCGCATTAGAAAAGCTGAATTCCACATGCCAGAAATGGAATTCAGCCTTTCACAAAAATCAAGTCCTGCTCTCTCTCTGGGAGCTCAGGCGTACAGGGGAGACCAGCAGGCAGTTCTGTAAACTACCACTGCCAGCCTGCAAATTTATATACATAAAATATTTCTTTTCCTCAAACCACTTAATAATTTGTACAAAGTATGTCTGTACAGAATGATACAAAGTAAGTCTTTCCACTTGCTTTTTGGCATTTCTCACAGGACATTTTCAGAAATATTCTCTCACTGACAAACATACTTACAGGATTGCGATGGGAGTGGAGGAACAATATGAAAAAACATGCCTAAGCACTCAAGCACACGCAAATGTATTTCATGGAGCCAATACTCAGAGAGAAAAAGAGTGAATAAACCACCGACTGAAAAACCTTTCCTCATAACCATCTTCCATTAACCCTTTCCCTCACACTTCCCAAAGAGAGAGGGGGGAAAAAATAAAATAAATGCATCTCTCTCTCTCTCTCAACCAAAAATCCCAAGGAAATACAGTGCATTACAGTTTCACCTGGAAAACAGCCGGCCACGGGATAGACCACTGCAATCAAATCCCTCCAAAACTAACTGAGAAATAGGTATTTGTACCAAAATCATGACACAAAACAGTTATTTCGGGATTCTTCAGCGTTACCATGTGTTGTGAATTAACTATTCATAAGACAAACAAACAGAGCAAAACAAAAAACAGACAACAAACCAACCAACCAAAGGGTATCGTATCCAGCAAGCAAAGAGATCTGCCAAGACTCCAATAAACAGCATTTCTGGTCTTGTGCCATAGATATTCAACATAATCTTATCATGCTTTACCAAAGACATATTTCTTCATAAATGAATTCCCCATATTGTTACACTTAAAATCTCTGATGCCAACATCATTTTTCATTGGCAATGTATGAGAAGACTATAGAATCTTAAATTAAAACAACAACAAAAAAAAAACCCCACCCATAAATTTCCCCAAGAAAACATAAGCAAGTGGAAAACAAGCTTACAGTGTGCAGCTACCATTTTTCAAACCTGCAGTGACAATGTTTCTTATTTTTTTTAAAATTCCTTCATAATTATCTTCTGGCGGAAAAAAAAAGGGCAGGAAGAACTGAGACACAGAGCAGTCACAATCGAGCTCTTCACCTTGCCTCAGTATAAATTTCCTCCTCCTCCTCCATTAGGCTATTTACAAGTGATGACTAATCATTTACATACTACAATACGTAAAATACACTTCTGGTTGTTTGGGTGGATTTTAAAAGGGACTCAGGTTTCTATAAAATACTTCAGGGAGAATATAAACAGCGAAAAGGAATCAGTCAGAAAATAGCCATTGAGAGTGAGACATTTTGATTGAAAATAAGTCTCTGTTGCTCGCGCGTTTCCAGGATATCTGGTTATTCAGTGATGAATGCACTTTCTACTATTGTCGGTCCCGCAGTGACAGCACTGCTATGGAAAAACGTACTGGATTATTCTCTTTCTTGCACATCAACAGAAATGTCAGCGATGATTTGACTGTCAAAACCTTCAGTACCAAAATGACGCAAAAGGCTGAACAAATGCACTTGTGGTTTTGATCCTTGAGTAGAAGCCACAAAGCTTGTTGCTAGGCAAAACCCACCTTCTTCATTTGCAAGCGAGCAAAATTTCATAGGGGTGTTGGGATCTTAGAAGCAGTCTACAGGAGCTTGAGGCAAAATTTCAGTCTCTAATTCCTTAAAGCAACTTAAGTATCACACACCACAATGCAACAGAAAATACAGGTGCCCACCAAGCCATTTGTAGAACCACTTCAATGGAAATACAATCTGTTTGTACAGAATATATAAGCACCAGCTGATCAGCATACACTGTAGGATAGAAGCTGTTTTTTTTTCTTAAATTGCCTTCTTTATTAACAGGATTTTCACTTTAGAAGCTGAGGGTACTACCAAGCTTGAGCAGCTACTGCCAGAGCTCAAAGAGAAAGGGGTGTAAGAAGGCGTGTACGG